CCCCTTTAAAGATAAATCAAAGGTCTCTTTATTTTGATATTTTTGCTCCTGAGCATTATACACGGTCATCAGATCTTCTGCCCTGATTGACGCAGCTCATGTATTTCTGTCTACTACACACAAATAGTGTCATTGGGCATCTGGCATACAGTTGCAAGAAAAAGTAAGTGAACCCCTTGGGATTACGTGGAGTTTTGCATGAATTGGGCATAAAATGTGCTCTGAACGTCATCTAAGTCACAACAATAGAAGAACACAGTCTGCTGAACATAATACTACACAAACATTAGATGTTGCCATGGTTTAATTGCACATAACATGTAAACATTCACAGTGCAGGGAGGAAAAAGTATGTGAACCTTTGGACTTAATAACTGGTTGACCCTCCTTTGACATCAATAACCTCAACCAAACGTTTCCTGTAGTTGCAGATCAGACCTGCACAACGATCTGGAGTAATTTTGGACCACTCCTCTTCACAAAACTGTTTCAGTGTAGCAATATTCTTGGGATGTCTGGTGTGAATCGCTCTCTTAAGGTCATGCCACAGCATTTCAATCGGGTTGAGGTCAGGACTCTGACTGGGCCACTCCAGAAGGCGTATTCTGTGCTGTTGCAGCCATTGTTTTGTTGAATTACTTGTATGCTTTGGGTCATTGTCCTGTTGCATCACCCATCCTCTGCGGAGCTTCAGTTGGCGGACAGATGGTCGTACGTTTTCCTGCAAAATGTCTTGATAAACTCCTGGAATTCATTTTCCCATCAATGACAACAATCCGTCCAGGCCCTGAGGCAGCAAAGCAGCCCCAAACCATGATGCTCCTTCCGCCATGTTTTACAGTGGGAATGAGGTTTTGATGTTGGTGTGCTGTGCCTTTTTTTCTCCACACATAGTGTTGTGTGTTCTTCCCAAACAACTCAATCTTGGTTTCATCTGTCCACAGTATATTTTGCCAGTAGTGCTGTGGAACATCCAGGTGCTCTTTTGCAAACTTCAAACGTGCTGCAATATTCTTTTTGGACAGCAATGGCTTCCTCCGTGGTGTACTCCCATGTACTCCATTCTTGTTTAATGTTTTCCTTATTGTAGATGTGTCAACAAAAATGTTAGCATGTGCCAGAGATTTCTGTAGGTCTTTAGCTGACACTCTGGGATTCTTCTTTACCTCATGCAGCATTCTGCGCTGTGCTCTTGCAGTCATTTTTACAGGACGACCACGCCTAGGGAGAGTAGCAACAGTGCTAAACTTTCTCCATTTGTAGACAGTCTGTCTTACCGTGGACACATGAACATCAAGGCTTTTGGAGATACTTTTGTAACCCTTTCCAGCTTCATGCAAGTCAACAATTCTTGATCGTAGGTCTTCTGAGAGCTCTTTTCTGCGAGGCATGGTTCACATCAGACAGTGCTTCTTGAAACCAGTAAACCCAAAACAGGTGTGTGTTTTTTAAGGGCAGGACAGCTGTCAGCAACACATCCAATATCATCACACTGATTGGAGTCAAGGTTGGCTCACTCCTGGCTCCAATTAGCTCTGGGAGAAGTCATTAAGCTAGGGCCTCACATACTTTTTCCTCCCTGCACTGTGAATGTTTACATGTTATGTGCAATTAAACCATGGCAACATCTAATGTTTGCATAGTATTATGTTCAGCAGACTGTGTTCTTCTATTGTTGTGACTTAGATGATGTTCAGAGCACATTTTATGCCCAATTCATGCAAAACTCCATGTAATCCAAAGGGGTTCACATACTTTTTCTTGCAACTGTAGGTGTTTGGTTTCCATGTGACTGGAGCTAATGTGCCAGCTTTTATGTTTTTTGGTCAGGCTGGAAAAATATAAGATAATCTGAACACAAAAAATGTATCTAACACCCATTGAGGGACTCTGGATTCTTTAACTTTGTTATGCTGACACCAACAGGAGTATTAGATACTGACAAAAAAAAACTGTTGGCCAGCCCTGGATGCAACCCCACATGTGACCAGCATGCTACAGTTTTTTGCCAAGAAGATGGACATCTTTTATCAGCTCTGCTAACCTTGACACATAAAGTGACTGTCATGAGCAAAGTATGGGGGGGGCTGCCATTTTGAATCCTTTTTTAAAATGCCTGTTTTCCTCTGACCAGACTCAGAGCAAGCATTCTATAAACTCTTGATCTGTATCATTGTCCTGGGCCAATGACATGGAAACAATACATCAAAAGCATCTGCATGACCGCAAGGGAAAGAACATTCACATAGAGGGGTCAACAATGGCAGCCTTCTTAATGTTCTCATTACAGAATCTAATAACCTTTGCAAATTTGTGGAATTCTTTAATGAACAGCTGCTGACTGATTTAGACAGGAGTTGCTACTCGTGGAGCTAAGAATTGCAATTTTATCTCAGAGGGGCGTGCTAGTGGATCTCAATGTGACAACCTTGCTGAGGAACCCCAGTGTAAGTCTGGAAGTACCCTTTGGGTGCTGGGACCTGCTGATACTGCTTTCCAGCCTAAGCTCTGGTCTGTCATTTCAGAGCGTATGCTGTGTCTATAGCTGTTGCTATACTCTTGTATCTTGACCCTGTCTCTGAGGACTTACATTTAAGTGAGCAGCCATGTGGGCCAGACACCTAATCTATCTGATGCATCGACCTGTAGGGAAGTTTTCACATTTTCCTCCTGTCCTAGTCATCAATTGTACAGGAGAGGTTAAGCTGACAAGAGGGGCTTTGTAGTCATAGCTTCAGGCGACGTTTGTGCACATTGCACCCTAATGTAACATGAAGGCACCTCCTGTCTTCCAGAGGGACGTGGACACATGGAGCACAGTCTCTATTCAGTTCCTGCTGTCTGCCTGCAGTGATGCTGAAGCTTGCCCTTGTCTAGACTCTTGGTTTGCTCAGTCTACTGGTCTTGAGCTCCTACCCAGCTGCAAAAGTTCCATTAATGCCTAGCCTCCAACCTCCAGTCTGTTAGTTACTCATCACCATTGCGGTGCAGTGTGTCTGACTCTATTAACATGAGGGGATTATTCTACATGGGTCTTGATGTGCTTTGCAGCACATTCCTTGATAGCAAGGGACCATCACTGTGGTGGGTCCAGCTACCACCTGTGCTGATCCCAAAACCTTTTTTAAAAAACACAAAAAAGCTTTATGCACAAGAGAAACCCTTACATTACGCACAACACTGTCCATCAGACGTTGCTCCTTCTGTTGTGTTCACCCAAGAGAGGTGTACTCAACAAAAAAGCTACCCCCACCCCAAACAAAGGGAGCTTGTCTTTCTGTGCTTCTCTAAAGCTGTCACCTCCAGCAGTTCAGTCTGTGGTCTTGGCTCTTACAGGTCACGCAAATTCACAAAAGTGTTTCCTCATTACCAGCTGCTCACTGTTTTCTTTCTTTTGTTTTTTTTTCTTATGCAAGGGCTGGAAACATCCCAAAAAAGTTTGTTCTTCTTTCCAACTGTTTTTGCAACCTTGTATCCTTTTACTGATTTGTTTAAAGCGGAACTTTACCCATAACAACTTGATACAAAAATTTATGTTTTTAAGCCAGGAAAATGCATTCCACATTAAAAATTATGCTACCAAAATTAGTATGTGCTGTAAATTGCCTCCAGCATTGTTCGTGTTTCTTCTTGCTGGAGGCTGCCATTTTGTTGAAGCCTAGAGCCCCTGAACATCAGTAAACCATAAAGCAGAACTAAACCCATCAATTTAATGGATTCAAAAAACAGTTATACTCTGGAATGGCGGGATAGCTAGCTGTCACGTTTGCTTGTATTCTCAACCAAACTGTCAAACCATCAAATGTCTGGTGTCATAACTGAATCCATGTGCAACAACCATGGCAGTTGCAGATCAAACAGAAGCAGCTTCCTTGGCTGTAAAGGATAGCTGGGTTTAATTCCACTTCAAGGCTGTCAGCAGATCAACCTCTACAAATTCAGCAGTGCCTAAAAATGCAGAGCAACTGAGCATTTGGAGAGGGTGAGACAGTGTATTGCTGGATTTTAAACAGTATAAACCCTTATTTTTTATGTTTTACATACAGTGTATCCAGAAAGTATTCAAAGGCGCTTAACTCCTGTCGGTTGAGGGTGCTCCTTTAGATGATAAGCTCTTTCCAGACACGTTTGTGCTTACTGATTTACTTTCTGCACCCACTTTTTGGATCTTACTGTCGCAACCTCTGGCTCACTTTCAAATTCACTAATGTCAGCCTGGACCAACATAGATTGAATCATGTAGACCAGATAGCCATCTTGAGTTTTGTGTGATGTCTGATATGCTAGTCATTTGCTTTTTTATATGAGCCTTATTTCAGCTAAGGACTCTTCAGTTTGTGCCCTTCAATTCCAGAGTAGACCTACTCTTCTACTTCATACCTCCTCTGCTCCACGCCAAGAACCTGGAGCACAATATCTTGTCAACATGTGGGACAAGTCACCTTTGTCCCTAGACAGGCTGAACTGTCTGAGACCAAAGACCAGAAAGTCTTAGTCTTGGAGGCTCTAAAACCAAGCTTGGCCAAGTCATTCCTTTCATTGCACTGGAAAATCCTTACCATTTAACATCTTAGATCTCTGGACAATCCAGTTGTTGTGCCTTCATGCATAAAAAGAGAGGTCTTTCTTGAAAACAACAAGGGACTGGATCTCAAATTGCAACTACTAACCTTGAACTGATTTCAAGGAATGTCCTTCAAACCTCATTGTGTGGTTAACGGTTTGAATTTGCTGTATTCTTTGCATCACCCAAATACATTTTAATTTTTTTTTTTTGCCCTATAATAATATTTTAGCTTTATAAAAAAAAAGAAACTGTCTTATGTTTATAGCATTCATTCAGAATACTCCTTTAATTTTTTTACTATTGTTAGGTAGAAAACTAAAATTCAGTGGGTTGATATGGATTACTCCTAGCTTCCCTAAGGCTAATTATGTGTTGCATGTTGTCTTTGAAGTTACATAGGGCTAATTTCTCTTTTTTTTTTTTTTTTCTTCAGATACTAGACCTGAAAAGGTTGTATTCGAATGACATTCATGCAATGGCAAATACATATGGCATAGAGGCTGCCTTGAGGGCTGTTGAAAAAGAAATTAAAGATGTGTTTGCTGTTTATGGTAAGTAACATTGGTCTTTGTAATTCAAATTGCTGTAGGTAAGTGAGACTGTTCTTTCCTTGGTATCCAATTGGGTTCCTATTTTCTTTCTTACATAATACAATTTGAGTATACAATTGGTTTCTGGATTTCATTAATGAGGCTCTGTGTGTTTGATACGCTTTTCAAAACTGATGTAGGTCATTCTGTGATCTTTGATTTTAATGCATCCTTGTTTTCCATCATTCTCACTCATCTGTTGTCCGCTTTTCTTCTGCCTAGGTATTGAGGTGGATCCTCGTCACCTCTCCCTTGTAGCAGATTACATGTGCTTTGAAGGAACATATCGTCCCCTAAATCGCTTCGGTATGCAGTCAAGCTCCTCCCCTTTCCAGCAGATGACATTTGAGACCAGCTACAAATTCCTGAAGGATGCTACAATGGCAGGTAATTATATTTTGTAGATCTGTATCCAGCACCAGCATCCTTCACAGGACTTTAAAGAATCAATAAATATGAGCTGAGACAATATTGTTATACTTTGGCCATAGAAATTTACAATCTAATTGGAAGAGATGCCGTTGATAGCAGTGAAGTGACAGGGTGACATTTGGGCAAATCAGAATTTTAAGGAGAAAAATAGGGATTACCTGTTGCTTCTTAAGACTTTGAAGTTGGATACATCTGTCCGTATCCAGGGTTGCTCATCTATCCCTAACCGCATGTAACTGCTTTAAGAACTCACTGAGCCTCAAACCCCTTTTCCTAACTACATGTAACAGCTGGTTGTGTGGATACATGTGAACAGCCCCTGCTCCTCTTAAACCTGCCATAGATGAGTTGAAAACCGAATGTTCTCGCCGATCAAAAAAAAATGAAAATGGTTCAATCCTGTTGTGCCATCATTTGTTTCATTTTTTTTTAAAAAAAAAACAAAAACATGTTGGACAGGGGCTTTAGATTGCAGCACAATAATCATGTGTCGCAGCTGGCACACTAAGGATGTGAAAAACAAATGCTTCAACGATCTACACAAATTTTGTTTACGTTTCGACTTATCTAAGGCCAGCTTTAGCCTGAACACAGTTTTTTTTTTTTCAATTTAGATGTGTGAGTAAAACTACATATCATGACAAATACTTTGTGTACCCAGGTGGATTATATCTTATATAGACAGATTAAACTTTCTTTTGGTGGTAAATGGTAACAGAATTTTTTATGTCAAAGGAAAACTGGCCCAAAATGGTAAAAAAAAGAGTTGATTTTTTTTTTTTGTTATTGCCATAACTTACCGCCAAAGAACAACCCACAGTAAATTCTCCTGCTCCTGACAATTGCAGCAATACTACACGTGTATGTTATTTGTACCTATAGTAGGGCCTAGAAACAATGGTGCACATTTTGCTTTTTTAAATCCTACCTAAAACACACTGATACTAATTTAAAAAAAAATCTTTTTTTTTTCTACCTAAAACTAAACTGACCTGGACATTTGACCCTGACCTTGACCCTAACACTGACCTAGATCAAACCTTGATCTAGCTTTTTTTATTTTTACTACACGCATTTGTTTACATCTTTCTCCCCTGTCAAGGAGACAATAATACGATATATTATATAAAGTATTCTGTATGTATACGATGTATCTTTCTCTCTATTCAGAGGAGAGAAAAAAAACACATGGGCAGGCTGCACAATGACTGATCAATGTGATAGCCAATCAGAGGCTATAACAGTGATCAGGTTAATGGGAACTGTAAGTCCCGGTTCACATATATGCGGCTGTGCGGGACGCGTTTTGCACGGGCATGAGAGCCCATTCATTTGAATGGACACCCGTGCCCGTGACACGCAGAGAAGTCCCTGCATTTCTTCCAAAAACGCAGTCCACACGGGAACCTTGGTTCCCAGTACGGTTGCGTTTTCCAGTGCGGGCGGCATGCCATTAGAACTAATGGCACCCGCCCGTGGGTCCGCATTCTTCTGTGAGGGTGGTGCGGCTGCATGGATTTTCGTGCGGATCTGCAGCGGCACCACCCCACAGATGTGAACCTAGGGTTAGTCCCTGTTCCCTACCGTTAGTATGAGCCCTGGGTGAGAGCCTGGTCTCTGTACTGGGAGTGTGCTGTGTGGCGCACTCACAGCACCAGCACAGGTACTCCTAATACTCTATGTGGCTTTACGGAAGAAGACTCACTTCAATGAGGCTGCATATATGTGTACAGGTGGTGTGAAGGGGTTAAAAATCCAAATCCGAAGCAAGTGGCTGGGGATACGTTTTTACTGCGTCCCCATCCTGCCACCCGAAGGCGCATTCCTAAATGATTTATTTTTTATGTGAAATGCATTTGCTGTCTTTCTGCCTAAGTGAACTTGCTTCATAGCTGCAGAGGATGTGATGTGAGGTGTGTGACAGAATCACGTGAGAAGCCAATGCGTTGTGTCACACAGAGACATGATACGATCTTTGTTAAGTCATCTGGCATTCCACAAATACTCTCCTTATACACATATGTTCCATAAGAATCACCCAGGTGACAAGTGAAGAACTAGGGTGTGGGTTACTATTTTTGGATCCTTAAGTCCTCTGAGACACAAAATGAAGACAAGCACCTACCACCATGTTTTGCATTGCTCTGTAAAGTTATTGGTACAGGCCCGGTGGATTGCATTAGAGGAAACTGAATTAGAACCTAACTGTTGGATGATTACCCAGACAGGCCAAGGTTATAAATGTTTCTTGCAACTTTTATCTTTGTTTCCTCTGCTGGGCCTCCATTTCCTCTCTTCACACAGTAGGTTTCTTCCTGTTCTGTTTCCTTGTATTTATTCTGAAACTTGTTCATTCTTGTCACTCTTCCTATCCTGTGTTCAGTAAATAGTACTTAATGTAGGTGCCCATTATATGCCTGTTGGCAGCTTAGATAACTGGACAGTCAGTGGGACACCTCAGCACCACAGTTGACCTCTTTAAGCCAGCCACAGACTGTTCAAATCTCGGCCAGTTCAGCAGGAACCAGCCAAGATTCAACCCGTGTATGGGCAGGCTGAATGTACCAACTTGGGCACAACAAGCCTGTCCGATTTTACATGTGATTATTACTGCGACTATTATAGCCACTAGCAGTAATCCCATGTAAAATTGGACAGGCTGGGGATAGCAGTCCCTATCAGTTTAACACAGCGATTACTGCTAGCAGCTATAATAGCTACTGGCAATAATCACATGCAAAATCAGACAGGCTGGTTGTACCCAAGTTGATCGATCAAGTTTGGAACATTCTTCCTGCCTGTATGGGTACAACCAGCCTGTCCGATTTTACATGTGATTATTGCTAGTGGCTATTGTAGCCGCTAGCCGTAATCACTGTTAAACTGGAGGGGACTGCTACCCCTGGCTTTAGGCCAGTCATAGATGCTTTGAATCTCGTCCTGTTCAGCAGGAACTGGCCGAGATTCGAATCGTATGGGCAGCTGAATGTACCCAAGTTGATTGATCAGTCAGCCTGGGTACAACGAGCCTGCCGGATTTTACAAGCGATTATCGCTAGCAGCTGTTCTAGCTGATAGCAGTAATCACTGTGTTCTCCCAGCGGCGAAGGCTTCCTTCGCCAAGAGAAAACAATGGCTCGGCTGGAGGGATCCCCCTGTCTACGCTGTCTGTGTTGATGGGGGAATAGTTGCAGGAAAGAAATTCGCTCCATCCATGGTCTGCCTTATGCTGGGTACACAGTAGCAGGATTTTTTTTTTTTTTCTTTCTAACACAGCAGGCTGAATGAATAAAAATTGAAGAGCTCAGAAGGAGCTCACTGTACTAACTATCCGATGTGAATACAGCATCTCCTTGCTGAGCTATTGTGTTGTGTCCCCCCGCCAGAACGCTCAGGTCACTGGCTGCCATCCCTGATCAGATGCTATTTTTCCAGCAGGCGGGTGTACACACGGGCCGAATGTCGGCTGGTTTCTATTGATCTGGCCGATATCAGCTGATGATCGGCCCGTGTGTATAGTGCTTTACTCTTTTGATGGTGAAAGGTGTGTTGACTAGCTTTGTACGTATGGATTGGTAAATTTTTCTAATGGCCCAAAGGCCATATTGTGCACAATATGTTGGTTTATAAATCATTAATATTAACAATTAAGCCCTCTAGCAGGCTGGCAGAGAACTGGTACTTGTTTAATGCACTTATAGTAACGAATCGCTCCCGTGCTAGTCATAGATTGTATGCCAGCTGCCGTATAACCCCTCTCTATCCAGCATGCCCCATTTTTTTTTGCTCTAGCATCCTTGGGAGGGTTAAGTGCCTTTTCTTAAGCTCTGTTGAGGAAAGTCTGTTTTTTTGCTAGCCTTCCTTGCTTTATAGTTTTCTTTAGTGACTTTGATCAAGATTCTTTGACACTTGAGCCAACTTTTTATAAAGTAGCTATCTGGATTGGTTTTTCCTCAGTCTAGTTTTGGAGGCCTTACCTGGACCTGCTGGACTGGGCATGCAAGGCTAGCTTGGAATTTGACCTCATAGCACTTTTCAGACTAGAGTGTACTGTACTGTGTTAGCCACAGAGCGCTTTTGAAGTTCAGAGCCATGGCACAGCCCTGTGGTTAGGGGTTAAGGTTGAAGGGGGAGGTTTACTCAGTATCCCCAGAAGCACCCAAAGCCTGTAATCTGGAACATGGAACCCTTATTGTTATAGGGCCATTTTCATCAAAGTCTTCCTCAACTTTTTTGGATGAGGCTGAGGACTACCCTATTTCTACAGGGACCTCTATGCTCACTTTGGAATTACTGCTCAGCTACTAAAGCATTCTGCCTGTGAGGGCTCTAAACACCCAAGCTCCACCCCCTACAGACTCTCTAACCATCCTGGGTCCTCAAACCAAACTAGGTCTGTGGCCCCATCTGACCACTGGGACTGTGGTGACCATTTCTGACTCATTTTCAGAGTCTAAGCAGTCTGTCGCTAAAGAGCAGCACCATAGTCTCCTGCTTTTAATTAGATTTACAGAGATTTGTTTCAAGCTTTATTGATGCATGATTTTGGGTCTCTGTATTAATTTGGATAAAACTGTTGCGCTTAATATTACTTTGGCCTGAGATTTGGTTTCACGCAGGGGTGGACTGACAACTCATGGGGCCCATGGGCAATAGGGGATCATGGGGCCCCTGTGTCCTTGCCCAAACTCAAAAAAGCCTATGAAAAAGGTACCAGGGGCATCTCATGGGGCCCCCTACTGACCCCGGGCCCTAGGGCAGTGCCCAAGTTTCCATATGGTTAGTCCGCCCCTGGTTTTGTGCCTACAGTGCCACTTCCCTTACAAATGGGCTTCCTCTTCTCTTGAATACCTAGGCATTCGCTTGACCCCCATCTATGACTCGTTGTTTGCTGCAAATTATTACCCATTGCTTCGCTCTGTATCCTCTCTTATGCATTCTTGGCAATTTCCGCA